GAGTCTCAGATATTATTTGTGACTAATCCCAGCAAATGAACAGTCAAACTCTTGTAAAGACATGGTAATACATTTCTTAAATATCTCTGAGTAGAGCATTAACGTATCATTTATAGCTAACTTCTCCAAATAAACTCCTTTGATATTTTAGATAAGATCTTAATAACTTTGTCTTCCTTCCTTCCTTCCTTCCTTCCTTCCTTCCTTCCTTCCTTCCCTCCCTTCCTCCTTCTCTCTCTCTGTCTCTCTCACTTTCTTTCTTGTACTAATGTTTGAACTTAAGCCTTTTTATCTGATTTTTAAATGCTCTACCACTTGAGCTATGCCTCTAGCTCAAATAATTTAACTTTCAATTCTTGTTCTTGTAAATAATTTCCTCACATTCTAAGACACTGTTGGTAAGAATGTAAATTAGTGCTTCCATTATGGAAGCATCTCCAAAAATTGAAAATAAAACTACTCTATAACGTGTGTGTGTGTGTGTGTGTGTGTGTGTGTGTGTGTGTGTGTGTGTGTGTGTGTGTGTATAAAATCCAGTGATGCCACTCAGAATTTATATTAAAGAACATGAGTCAGGATATAATAATTATTTCTTCACACCATATTTCTTGAAGCACTATTCACAAGAGCTAGGTTATGTAGAAAGTTCAGATGCCCCATAATAAAAAAAAAATAGATTAATGAGGGCTGGGAAGGTGGCTCAGTGGTGGAGCGCTTGCCTTGCATGCTCAAGGCCCTGGGTTCGATTCCTCAGTACCACATAAGCAAAAAGAAAAAAGCCAGAAGTGGCGCTGTGGCTCAAGTGATAGAGTGCTAGCCTTGAGCTGAAGAGCTGAGGGATAGCGACCAGGCCCAGAGTTCAGGCCCCACGACTGGACCCCAAAAAAAAAAAAATAGATCAATGAAATGTTATGTACACACACATAAACTACATATTATATGTGTGCATATGCACACTAGAATTTTATTCATCCATCAAGAAGAATGAAAATATGTCATTTTGAGGGCAAATGGATGTTTTTGGAAAAAGTCATGTTAAATTAAGTAAGCCAGGCCTCAAAAAGCAAAGGACATATGCCCTTCAGACCTAAAATATAAGCATATATGCAAGCATATATGGGCTATATGCATAACAATTCCTCAAACTGGTGGATGATAGACCTAAAATATAAGTAAATATTTAAACACATAAACACATATGGGATATCTATCTTTCTAACTATAATATTTATATAACATATGAATAAAATCAAACTGACTAAATTATGATTAGATTTCATTCAGTATTCTTTGAACATCTAGCAGTATAACAAAAATAAATATCATAAAGATGATATATCACTGGGGGAAAAGGATAAGAAACAGAGGTAGATAAATGGAAAGAGGAATGGTGACTGAATATAATCATAATACTCAATAAACACATAAAATTTGCTTATGTAACTGTAACTCATCTGTACAGTATTTTCACAATAAAAAACTTGTTTAAATGAATTAACATAGTTAAGGAGATGGATGGGATTGGAATAGATGAGGAGAAAAATGATTGAAGAGATGATATTGATCAAGATGCATTGTACATACTCATGAATAAGTTAAATTAAAACTTCCTGTACAACAATATGAAGAAGACAATAATGAGAAAAATATTTTCTCATGGGGTAACCATTAAATACAGTTCAAATAGCATATAATTGAATCTTCAATGTTTCATCAAACACTATATTGAAATATATTTTAAAATAAAGCATAAAAATAATTCTATTAATTGAATTATATGAAACATAAATGTCTTTATATTATTTTCTTTATCTCATGATTACCTTCTAAATCATAGAGTGGAACGTGACTGGGAAGTGCTATCTCTTTCTCAATTTTTTTTTCCTGTAAACAATACAGGCATGAAAAGCTCAATTGGAATGTAGTACACAGTGGAGATGAGGAGATGGAGCTCAAAATCTAAAGGTATCAAAATGTCTACCACTTACAGGACAAAAAATTACGAAGAAAACTGAGAACTAAATAGGAAGAGGGTCCTGAATATTAATGCAATTCAGAAAATGGCTAATTATTTCAAATGTGTGAAATTATGTCAGACACTCACACAAGGGCCTGGAATAGAGCTTGTCACCTACAAGTCTCACTAGAAAGTCACAGTGGATTACAGAATTCCAGAAGTTCTTGCCTTATTACTGGAAATAGCTATCCCCAGACAGAACATTGGAATTACCTAATAAATAAAAGACAAGACAAAAAAATCAACATTTTTTGTTTAACTCTGTGTTTGTTTCAGAACAAAGCTGAAGAATTTTATTAAAAAAATAATAACTCTTCAGCACACAATAGACTAATGCTTGTAATGTTCGCCATCTCAGTGAAACTAATCAGGCTTAAAAAATAGCAAGAAAACTTTGGTTATAATGAGAAGAAAATCAATTAAAACCAACACAGAACTAGCACAGGTGTTCAAATTAACAAGAAAGACCATAAATAGCATTATTATAACTGTTTTCCATATGCCCTCAAATTAAAAAGAGACATGAAAGATTTAAAAATAAATTTCAAATGATTTTTAAGAGATAAAATCATAGGATCTGAGTTTCCCTACTGTAGATATGATAGATAATGGGAGACCATGACATGCGAGAAGACTAGTCATCATGAACTTGAAGCTACTGGAACAGAAATTATCAGAAAGGATATATTGTGAAATAAAAAAAATTACAACTGACAAAGACTGATGAAATATGAAAATAATATTTATATATAATTAGTCTTTGAAATTAAATGATAAGAAGCAAACAGGTTTATAAAATTATATCCCAAAGTTTTATGTTGCCCCAAATTATAAACTTGTAATCCAAATCTCAACAAATCTTGAACCAAGGAAAAGACAGTATAACAGTACACCAAAATCTAATTTTTCCAAACTCATAGCTAAAGTAAAAAGAACCTTGAAATCAGTAAGAAAGAATATATTATGTAAGGAAAGAAATAAAAATGATTAAACCATGTTTCTATCTCCATCTCTCCTCACAAAATATAAATGCAATTTTTAAATGAAGATTTGTATATAAAGAATAGAAATATAATTAAACTAAAGCACTCAGAGCACATTTTGAAAATAAATCTGAAGTAAAGATATTGTCACATACAAAAATCTCTGTGATTTTTTTCATATATATTTTTCATATATATTGTTATAAAAATACTGAACAGAAGGGTTTCAATTACATGAGTAAGGTAATGAATACATTTCCTATTGAATACATTTCCTATTCCTCCTTTGTTTTCTCCCCTACCATCCCTTCCCTCTGCAACTCCTCTCTCCCCTATTTCTTTTAGAATATGTGTGTGTGTGTGTCTGTGTGTTTTTGTCTGTGTGTGTGTGAAAGGTTATATTTGTAAAGAAGTAAAACTACAACAGATGGAACGGTGTACCTATTGATCTTGTTAGAGGCCTTAGGTTCAATTCCCATCATCACTAAAAACAAAACAAAACAAAATGTACTGGAAAGTACTTGTAACAACTTCAGTGTGATTTCCTCCCTCTCTTTAGACTTATATAAAAGTACTGTTTTGGATTTAGGCTAAGTGAAGTAGTTCATGTCTACATGGGGAGGCAGAAATCAGAAGAATGAAGGATCAAGCTCTAGCAAGAATAAGCCCACAAGATTCATGTCTCAGTCAATAAAAAGTTGGGCATGGTCATGCCTTCTTGCCTAGCCAGCCAGAGAGTATAGATATAAAAAATTGAGATCAAGCCTAGCCCAGGCAGAGTGAAAGATCCCATTTGATTCTGGTGTCCTGCATCTTGTTTATACATTTTTCTAATTTGGAGAGGGGAAGGGAAATAACAAAATGCTGAAATAAGGTTACAAGATGACCCATTGTAACAAAGAGATGTACAAGGCACTGTTGAAAATGAACTTTACAAAATTGGGGAGGTGGGAGGGAAAGAGGGGGTAACAATGCTTGATAGGAAATGGACTCATTACCTTGTTCATGTAACTGTAACCCCTCTGTAGAGTAGCTTTACAATAAAAAAAAATTAGAAAAAGATAGGTAGATGCAGAATCCAGGATGATTGAGACTTAACAATCCAGCAGGCTTGGGAAAGAAAGAGAGAGAGAGAGAGAAGAAAGAAAGAAAGAGAGAGAGAGAAAGAAAGAAAGAAAGAAAGAAAGAAAGAAAGAAAGAAAGAAAGAAAGAAAGAAAGAAAGAAAGAAAGAAAGAAAGAAAGAAAGAAAGAAAGGAAAGAGAGAGAGAGGGTTAGGAAGGAAGCAAGGAAGGAAGGAAGCAAGGAAAGAAGGAAGAAAGGAAGGAAGGAAGGAAGGAAACAATGGTAATAAAATGGCTTGGAGGCACAGATCAAGTAGAAGGGTGTCTATCAAACAGGAGGCTCGTAGTCCAAAACACACACTATCATCCATCCATCCATCCATCCATCCACATACGAACATACATTCACACTTAGGTACGTACTGTTTAGACAAAAATACTAAATTATTTTGAGATACGTAGCAAATAAATGTAAAAACAATTAGAAAAAGTTTGTAGAAACAGGATGAACATAGCTACAATCGTGCTTAGAGATTCCAACCATCTAGGAGCCAGGATTTTGTGTTAGCTGGAGTGGGAGTAACAAGATGGCGGCTTGGGCGGAGTGACTGGGGGCCGGAGCCGGCAGCCCTGGCTGGGCAGTGTTACCCCGCCCCTGCCCTAACCTAACCCGGGCCTCCCCTCCAGCCAGCGGCCGCGGCCTGGCCCCGGTAACCGCGTCCCACCCCCCAGCCACCCCGCCTCGGCCTAGTGGAGCAGGACCCAGCAGGCAGGCAGGCCGAGCGGCAGGGACCGATTCTCCTAGGCCCTGCGACGCCAGGACAGACTTCCGTTCTCCATCTCCCGCCGCCCAGTTGAGCTTGGCGCCGCCGGGCGCGCCGGCCCCCGGGGGGAAGCCTCCTCCATCCGCCCCTTGGAGGTGTCCAAGGCTAGGCCCCAGCCTCCATGTTCGCGTTTCGGGATGGCGAGCAGCAGCGGCTCCAAGGCCGAATTTACGGTCGGAGGGAAATACAAACTGGTGCGGAAGATCGGGTCCGGCTCCTTCGGGGACATTTACCTAGCGATTAACATCACCAACGGCGAGGAGGTGGCAGTGAAGCTAGAATCGCAGAAGGCCAGGCATCCCCAGTTGCTGTACGAGAGCAAACTCTATAAGATTCTTCAAGGTGGGGTCGGTATCCCGCACATACGCTGGTATGGTCAGGAAAAGGACTGTAACGTGCTAGTCATGGATCTTCTGGGACCCAGCCTTGAAGACCTCTTCAATTTCTGTTCAAGGAGGTTCACCATGAAAACTGTACTTATGTTAGCTGACCAGATGATCAGTAGAATCGAATATGTGCATACAAAGAATTTTATACACAGAGACATTAAGCCAGATAATTTCCTCATGGGTATTGGGCGTCACTGTAATAAGTTATTCCTTATTGATTTCGGTTTGGCCAAGAAGTACAGAGACAACAGGACCAGGCAGCACATACCATACAGAGAAGACAAAAACCTCACTGGCACTGCCCGGTATGCTAGCATCAACGCACATCTTGGTATTGAGCAGAGTCGCCGAGATGATATGGAATCATTAGGATATGTCTTGATGTATTTTAATAGAACCAGTCTGCCATGGCAGGGACTAAAGGCTGCAACAAAGAAACAGAAATATGAAAAGATCAGTGAAAAGAAGATGTCCACTCCTGTTGAAGCTTTATGTAAGGGGTTTCCTGCAGAATTTGCCATGTACTTAAACTATTGTCGCAGGCTGCGCTTTGAAGAAGCCCCGGATTACATATACCTGAGGCAGCTATTTCGCATCCTTTTCAGGACCCTGAACCACCAATATGACTATACATTTGATTGGACAATGTTAAAGCAGAAAGCCGCACAGCAGGCAGCCTCTTCCAGTGGTCAGGGTCAGCAGGCCCCAACCCCCACAGGTTTCTAAGCATGAATTGAGGAGCATAAGAAGCAGAGCAGATGATCAGAGCAGCAATTCGTTTCTCCCCAAATCTAGAAATTTTAGTTCATATATACACTAGCCAGTGGCTGTGGACAACCATTTACTTCGTGTAAAAAACTTATTTGCAGTATAAACTGGCTCCGGGCAGCATTGGTGATACTGTGTCCTGAGTTGTAGCCGCTATAATTGTGAATATTAACTGAGATAGTGAAACATGGTGTCTGGTTTTCTGTTGCATTTTTTTCCAAGTGGAAAAGTTAACTAAATGGTTAACGTACACGAATTGGTGGAGTTGTGCATATGCCAATCTTGTGCTAAAACCTTTCTTTTGAACTATACTGCTTTGAGATCTCATTTCAGAAGAATGGCATGAACAGTCTTCAGTTGTGATGGTTGTAAATGCTCACAATTGTGCATTCTTAGGGTGTCCATCCCTGGGGTTTGCAAGTTGTTCACTTAACATTCTTTCAGTGGTTGGCTTCTTGTTTGCAAGACATGGTAACAACCAAAGATTCCAGTGTTTGAGCATATGAAAGACTGCCTGCTTACCTGTGCTAGAAATAATAGCATCTAGCATGAAGACTTAAGAAAACTTAGTGAATACTAGATTATCCTTGGGATTCAGCATTAACTCTATAATGTTCTTGGTATTAAAAAAAACAAAAGCATATTTGTCACAGAAATTTAGTTAACATCTTACCATTGAACATGTATGTATGTTGCTTAGATAAATCACTAAATAAAAAATCTAAATAGAAAAGACTATATGAACCAGTAAGAGTAGAGAACAGACATTCAGCATGCACACTTAGAGTTCCCCACATAAAGGATTTTCTGAGCCATACAATTTCATTAAAGACAGTTTAATTGATACAAACATTTTCTCAGGTTCTAGCATAACCATGTAATTCAGTTAGAACTCAATAAGAGAAAGTCAGCTACATGTATTCCAAATATTAGAAAACCAAACAACACATTTCTGAAGAGATCTTATGTCAAAGAATAAATCCAAAGAGATGTTAGAGAATATTTGGAATTGATTATAAATATAAACGCAACTGTCAGAAGCTCGTCTGAGTGGGGAAAATAAAAAACTATGCTGTCAGGTGTTATTGTTGCTAATTAAAGCATAAAAACAAAACAAAATCCACTCATTCTATCTTGTTATGGTGACTCAAATCTAAAAATAGGTGTAATGCTGATTCCTTCTGTTCTATTTTTTTCCTGAGGAACAGCAAACCAGTGGAGAGTTAGTAGAATTGACTCCAATGCTATCTTTCTATTAAGGTTCTCAATAGATTTATAGACATATGATGGAGGAATGGAGCAGAGCATAAGAAGAGAAAAAGTACTGGGTGCTATGTCAAAGTCTGCTTTAATTGCTAGCACCTCTGCACATGCGATCTCTGGAGGTATGGAGAACAGACTTCAAAGTTTGAGCAGGGGGATCTATGAATGAAGGTGCCAGGGCTAGGGAAATACTTAAACATGTGAAAGTCAATGTTCAAAGTGGGCCTAGAGACCTGAAATGCAACTCTTTTCTGATAGTGAAGTGAAAAAGTGTGGTGTGGGAAGGCAAACTTTCTTTTATTAGGCAAAGCCTTTGTGTCTGTGGCTGGGCCTGAAAGATCACATGTGAGTTTTTAACTAGAAGCTGGACTCAATATAAACAAATACAATATGTAGATTTATAGCATTAAACATCTCTACTGAAAGAAGAAAGATATTTAATCCATGTCCTCATCACTTACCTGAAGAAACTAAGAGGGTGGGAGTAAGTATAAAACCCTATGAAAGAAGAAAAACAATATCCAGTATAAGAGAATTAAGTAGATGGTAGAAAAATTATTTTTTAAAAGATGTTTTGTTTTTTTTTGTTGTTGTTGTTTACTCAGGGCTTAGACCAAAAACATTCTGTAATCTCTTACATAGCTAGTACTTGAGGTGTTTGTCATTGTACCTAGCCTAAAGATGTTTCAAGAAATAGGTAAATGTAATCAATAAACCTCTATTCATTCAACTCAGAAAGAACAGAGAAAAAACTGGAATTGCTTTCACCATGCAAATAAGATGGCATGTAGATGCTACAGATATTGAAATGATAACAAGGATCCAACATGAGTGGCTCGTGCCTATATACCTCTCTAGAAGGCTGAGAATGAGAACATCATGGTTCAAAAGCCAGCTGGGCTGAAAAGTCCAAGAGATTCATTGTATAGGTAGCAAGATTTTCTCCTATTGTACATATTTCCTCTTCCTTCTAGTGACTTTCCTTTGCTGTGAGAACCATTTTAATTTAATGCAATCCTCTTTGCTATTCCTTGACATTATTTGTTGAGCTACTGGAGTTTATAGTCTATGCCAGTATTTTCCAGTATTATCCCTATTCTTCCTTGTTGTAGTTTCAGTTTCAGGTCTTACATTAAGGACTTTGAATGGATAGTTCAGGGCAGGAAATAGGGACTTGTTTCAGTCTTCTGCATAAGTATGTCCAGTTTTTAGACTATAGCTGTATTAATTTATTACTCAATCCTCTATTCTATCCCACTGTCGTGGTGTTTGTTTTTGTGGCAATTCAATACTGTTTATGTCACTATGGTTCTATTATATAATTTGAAGTGAAGGATTTCTCTATATCAGTTAAGAAAACAATAATATCCAAATTGCCAAGAAAATTTAGAAGTGGGCACTTGGTCAAAATAGCACACACATTTCCCTTGATTAGAAATGGATACAGGAGCATCAACTGGAAAAAAGGGACAATTTGCTGCTTAGAACCCATCCTTGAGTGACCTCAGAGGAAGCAAAATTGGTATTGTCAGTGGAAACACAAAGGCTTTCCTTGAAGTCACATGAACACTTTCGTAGAAATTTCCTAAGAAGGAACTTGGGCCTTCTCTATACTGTGTAGCTGCATCAGTAATACAGATGGCTACATATCATGCACATCATTCCTGCATAGAGAATTACCCGCAAAATAAAACACTAGGCAAAGCTACACAGTGATGCTACATGCTGACATCTTTATAAGCCTCAACTTTTGTAGCTATGAGCATAAAAGGTAGTGTCACTGATTGTTCATAGGGGGATTTACTAAGAAGGCATCCATAAGTACACAGAAGTATCTGATGGATTATTAAACCAGTTAGTTATACATTTAAGAATCAAATCCAAAATCCACTTGCACCATTGGTCCTCGAAGAAAACTAATAAACAAAATAACTGGCTTTACTGATTGATATATTTACCCCCAGAAACTTGACCCGGCTGTAATTTCCATTACTACTGCCATCATAATAGTAAAATTAAAGTAAAAACCCTCAAACTTTTTGGGAAGCATTGTTAAAAAGTTTAAGGAAGGGGAATAACCAAATGCTGAAAGAAGGACAAAGGATGACCCATTGCAACAAGATACAAGCCACTATGTCAGAAATGAAGTTTATAACTTTGGAAGGTGGGGGGAGGAAGAAGAGGATAGTGGTAGAAAAACAAAGGAGTGGGTAACAATGTTTGACAAGAAATGTACTCATCACCTTACTCATGTAACTGTAACCACTCTGTACTCCATGTTTATATTAAAAAATGTTTAATAAATCACAGGACATCTAATACTAAAACAACTTTAAAAACTTTGGTTTAGACTACTATATATGATATTGTAACAACAAGTAAGAGTAATGAGATTCATTATAATAACTTAATTGACGCAAATAGTTATGAGGACAATTTAAAAGGTAGATGTGGAGCAAAAGTATTCTATTTCCAGGAATAGCCAGATGTTAACACCAAGTCATAGACTGTGGACAGATTTCAATTCTGATTTGGATTGATATTAGTCTGAATTGACAAGATTGAAGGACTAAGGTGGGATATAATTAATCAGGATCTTTGAGGACTTGATTAATACAATACTTTAAATTGATGACAACTCAAAGTGTGTACTTAATTAGATTTTATTTTAGAATTAAAAAACAATTTTATCTTTATAATTAAGAATCCACCAAATGGCTCTGTCCAATTTTAAATTCCCAAGACCATATTAGTGAATTTCAATGGTTTTCTATGGTTATATAAAATGTTATTCTAAACTTAATAGGCACCTGCATCAAATAATAGAAAATTGAGAAAATGAAATATTACAAAAGTAGACTTTAATGTAGATCGAGTTAAGTTAGTGTTCACTAACATATGCTTTCTCAGTTATTTAAAATCTTTTCAAAGCTCCTTATTAAAACTTTCAAATATTCCTAGCACAACCAGCATGAGAAAGCAACAGTAATATTTTATCAGAAATCAATCCCTATATTTTTCATATTATATTCCCTTTAGCAGTATGAGCAGAGTAAGAAAATTGCCAATTAGTACCTTTAAATTTTAGCAAGATGGAAGAAGGAGGAGACATACCTAGGGTGATTCTTCAAACAACAGTAATATGCCAATCAAAAATTCTTTAAAACATCCTGTGCTCCAAGGGCTTGCTTCTCCAACTTTTATCAACACATTGGTCTATTCTACTTGTAATCATGACTTCGTTTTAATTGTTCACACATTTTAACTTAGTACTTTCTTGGGACTGATGATGAATGCTTTTAATTAATTCCTTGGGATCATCCTGCTGTTTTGGTTCTGAAATTTTCTTATTGGTTTCTGTAGATGAGATTTCAGCTATTCCTTGGCTGTGGCTTAGGATAATTTTATCTATTGCTGCAAACAAGTGGACCAAAACAAACAGAATGAACTTTTCATATTTGGGAAATCCCCTTGTAGCTTCTAGTAAACAAACAAGAATAGAAACAAGTAATATATATGGAGATATTACAAAGTGAGAAAAACTATAGAATTGCATGTTCTCACTGTGGGGTACTTTTGGAATGGCAAATGACTGTCTTACTAGGTTTCTACTTTAACTCTTATTTCTAAGAGTAGGCCTTTATAACACCTTCCCTTCTCCAACCTCCTTCCTGTAATGGGGAAACCCACAGGTTTTGTCACCCCAAAGAGTCTATACACTGGGG